GATGATGCCAAGGCTACATTGGCAGCGCAAGGCTTATTTCCAACAACATCGGATGTATGTCTATACACAACCAAGCAAAAAGACTTGTTTGTCTTACTACATGTTGATGACTTCCAGGTCATGGGTCCGAATCTTACGAAAATTGAAAAACTAATGTCAGCTCTATATAAAAAGTACAAGCTGAAAATGGTAAATACTGACCTCTTCCTGGGAATACACATCTCCAAGCCAAGCAAAAATATCCTAGAGCTCTCGCAGGGACAGTATGCCCGCTTAATTCTTGATAGACATGGACTTACAGACTGCAAGCCGGCCAAAACGCCCCTCGAGAGATTAATGGAGCCAAGTACCTCTGATTGTAGTCCAGGATTCCAAAAAGAATATAATTCAATGGTTGGTGGTCTTCAGTATTTAGCAAACAATACAAGACCTGACATAGCACATGCGGTTAACCATTTAGCTCGTTTCTTGCCAAATCCATCAGAAGAACATTTCGAGGCAGCCAAACGTGTTTTACGATATATTTCAAATTCACCTGACAAGGGCATCAATTTTACCAAAAGGGATGACATGAAGCCAACTTTAGAAGCCTATTCAGATGCAGACTTTGCAGCGGATCCATCTAGCAGCCGGTCAACTTCTGGCTCACTGATCAATCTTGGATCTGGACCTGTATGCTGGAGGTCACATTTACAGCGTGAAGTTGTCTTATCTACAACTGAAGCTGAGTATCTCGCTGCAACAGAAACCTGTCGCCAGTTACAGTGGGTAAAATCATTGCTTGAGGAATTGAATTTACTCGGCATGATTGAAGGATCGAAGCTAACAAATTTATATGTCGATAACCAATCAGCTATTTCTTTGATAAAGAATCATGACAATCACAGACGTTCGAAACACATTGCCCTCCGAAACTTCTTTTGCCGTGATCAGTACCAATCTGGAAAAGTTAATGTGATTTACGTTCAGTCATCAGAACAGTTAGCTGATAGTCTGACCAAACCTAAATCAACAATACCACTGTATGGCAGCATTAAAAGTAGAGATGAGAATACCAGCCAGTGATCAATGGGACTGTAAGGTTGTTGCCAACAGAGGGAGTGTTGTGATCAGACCCACTTATAGATCACACAACTTGGAATGGCTAGTACTGGGCAAGTGAACCAACAGGACAAGCGACCCTGCGTCAATGATACGTCATCGGCACACAGCAATGACAACACCAGTATCTCAACCATACATGATTATATGATAATATGACGCAGGTATATCTAATGACATAGTTGTTGAATGGCTGAATGGTTGGCAGTTATTGCTATTGATGGTATATTGTATGTATTGTCTTTGTGTATAAATACTCGCTACTAGACCTCTGTATATGATCAACCTTTTCCACTCTTATATTCAATAGTCATCAATATAGCAGATCTACAATATATATCTGTCTTCTTCACGTTAGACTTAAAGTGCTATCCTACATCAACCCAAGTTGACTGTTACACCCATTGTGACAATTCTTAGACTTCTCATAACCTCATTATTACAATATTTAGTGCGTGATGCATATATTGGAATTGTGGACTCAACTAGAACTTGACTGATTAGATAATGTTATTAGACCGAGACGGATGGAGTCAGGGGGAACAAGATGCTCATTTCTTCTAGGGGAGAAATGATGTTACGATGGAGCGTTCTATCACTAGGCTGTGGACAACACAGTAGGCTGGAACAAATCATAAGGGGATCTAAACGCTCGGTCGTTCTCTTTTGCAAATTTTCTTTATAAATACAAGTCTTATCACAAGAACACGGAACAGCGATAATGAGACTTACTGTGAGCACAACTTCCGCCATAGTATCTATTGTCCTGGTCCCATGTAGCCTAGTTAATATAACACCATCCCTTGCTCTAGCGGTTGGCTGAGCCGAGGGACAGTCCCGCTCTAGAATTCGCACGTACAAGCCACTGTGAAGCCTGATTGCTTGTACAAAGTAGCCCGGCCTCTGCTTTTAACTACTTGATGTGTATCCAGGTGTCTGGAAACGACACAAACGCCTGGGCGGTGCATATGTTGGATAGCGCTTTTGACTTTGGAGACAGTTAGCAGTTAGCACTTTGACGTATTTTACACGAGATAGTCGACACTCCTCCGCCGGCACGGACCAAGGAGAAATCAGGATGCTTTGGTCTCGGCGCGCGAGAAGCGTGATAGCGTCTCGCTGCAGCCGAAGCGGCGACGTCCTGTCCGAGCTGTCTCGACTCGCGCAAGCGACGGCGCATCGCACCATCCAAGCGCGCGCCCTGCTCTTCACTGTGAGCGACTCCAAGCCAGACTTCGAAATCCATCGGCCGTCAAGCTTGTCGTCATGAGACTGTGCCCGCTGAGCATCTTCCCGGCGGTGGCCATTTGGTTTCGTCGCGCTGATGGAATCAGCGGCTCGTGGGCCAACCCGATCCGTTTGGCGAAATTTGAGCGGAATGAGCCTGGCATGCCACTACGCTCCCGCGCCAGCAGAGGCAGGGCGGACCGGTGAGGTTTCGTGCCTGCACTAGACGTTTATGTGAAACAGCGTGCGTAATTATCACAAAGAGTCGGGTGGTGCAATGGTTACGCGGTATCTCGTGGTTCCCGACTACAATTTGACGCGGTAAGCTTGAGACTAGATTGCATGCCTCTCAAACGATATCTATGCTTTGATTCAATTCACTCTTGAACTCCGCGCCACCATTTACACACCGTGCGCCATCCCTGAATACTATTTGCCTCCCAACTGCGCACTGATAGTTGCTCCCCTTCCCTAGCATGTGGCTCTGTCTTACTAATCGTAGCGCAGGACTGATCTTGCCTCTGTCTGACTTAGACGACCGGGGTTCTTGGGATTTCACAGGTGTTCACTTTGGTCCTCGGCCATCGCGGCTGGTGACAGCCTGTCCTTCTCTACCTCATGGCAGGGGCCACACACCTCACGCTCCGCCCTCTCCCGAGATTCGCAGGGCGTACGCACCCGAGACTGACTGCCGCACAAGCCTCTCCCCCTCACAGGGCTGGCAGACACTGGAGAAGGAAGCTCCACCACCGTCTCGGATGGTGCAGTGGTGCGGCATCTGGTCACATTCCGAATGAAGCCCTAATGCGTGGACATGCCGGCCAGGCGAGACGTTTTGTTTCTAATTCATACTATCCTCAGCTATCCAGTCATGACATCGCAGCCCGCGCCTCGCTGTGAACAGAACGACAAATGCAAGCTTGGACAACCACCATTTTTGAAACTGCCCGCCGCTCTTGGACGCGCGTCGACCAGGTCGCGGCAGCAACCAAGCCTCAAAGTGGCCCGTGCGAATTTATTCTAGAGCGGACAGGCAGAGCTTACGCGTCCCGGACCGCGGAAAAATGACCACGTTCGCTTCGTGCCTGCAGCCAGGCCGTCGCCGTTAACGGCCGACGTGGCTCGCAGCTCGACTGATCCCGCACTTGCCAGAACTTCCAACAGTGTCTCGTTGCTTTGGTCTTTATTGAACCACCTGAGTCGCAGAATATCTAGCTCATTGCCTTCCTCTCGGACCCAGGACACACCATGTAAAGTGCTCTTATCCCCTTTTGATATATTGCCAGTGATGAATAGCCACTTGCCTCAGAATCTACCCGTAGAATTCGACCAGCTACGGAACCTTCTACCTAAAATAAAAAGGTAGCAATGGAATTACTTGCCTAAGAGTAATCTGAAAACCTTATAGCCCAGGCCAGGCGAGGTGCGCATATCTATTCACATCTCCCTTTGTATAAAAAGATGTCAAGATAATTCAGTCCACCATCATCGTCTCGGCTGCCGGCTATGCTCCAAAGTCTCATCACATTGTTTCTCCCATGACTCGGAAAATTGAGTGGACGATTATTAGGGTTTCAACCCTATTATCTCGAGATACCAAGTTAACAATGGGGAAATACGCCCTCAACGACAAACGCGACCCTATTTCTTTTCAAAATCTAGACAGGATACGATTGCAAAAATGCTTCGTAATTTGGATTCACAGGCAAACTGACTGACTCAAGGCTTGCTTCTAAGTTGGATCACTGGAGATGAGCTAAAAAAAAGCGTCGCCTCTTAAAGTGCTCATAACGTAAAAAAGGGCAGACCACGCTCGGGGGGACTATTCCTATTAAAACTTCCTATGTGTTTACGTTCATCTACTTCATGTGCACTCGTATATTCATCTAACCTGGCTCTATCATAGCCGCGCGCACAAGTCTTCACACATCAAAACGCCCAACGACTAATTTGTTTCCCATACCACTAAAAAATCACATTTTAATTACTCCCATCACATAAACTTCTTCTTTATAGACTCCATGCTACCAATTGTCTCCAGAGTAGGCGGTTATATCGTTCAGATAAACACGTCACATTATTAGTGAGCCGCCAAATCCAATTTTTTATGTTGAAGGGGGCGACGAAAGGCGCTGGTTGATTATTTCGAAGAATTGATCTTAATAACTGAACAGTTTAGTCACCAAAAAAATAACAATCGCCGTATCTGAAAGGTCTTCGTTGCAAGAGACTAACCTTGTTAGAGGAAATTTATAAAAATATTCCGTATCACTTCAACATCGGCCTTCTTCTAGGATCCCCAAAAAATCCTTTGAAACTCATCGTTCTGGACACTTACACCTGGCAGTGCATAGCGTAGATGACTCCAGTTTTACTCCATGTTGAGCTGGTATGACTTAGATTTTTGCTGCTCTGCAAGACTCTTATTATTCATCAGCCCGTTGCGCAGGTGTTACTGGGTGATCGCCTAAGTTTATGCGCTTCTATTATAGCCGGTGTTCTTTGGCTCGATAAATAATAGCCTCTTAGTTATCTATGGCTTTCGTAATAAGTACTTGTAGGCCGTTCTTTGGAAGACATCGACAACGGCATCATCCCGAGTCCTTAATATTAGTATGCGACTCTACCATTCAAGCTCAATCTGAGTGGTACTATCTCAATATTCGAGGGGGTTAGATGAAAGTTGGTGTAGTTTTATTATCGATTCCAGACAAGTTTCGGAATGGAGGAGATTGACCAGCTGAGATATGCTTATAATTTGTAGGCTCACATGTCCGACGGAATTCTGGCATATCGAGATCGAAGGGATCAGACCATCCTTTGTCTCGACGTTCATTTGTCGTAAAAGAGATGGAGGACATCGTATCTCGGTAAGTATCGTGTGTGGGAGCTATGAGGGAAAGATGAGTGGTCGTTTCCGTTTCAGAGTCGGTTGGGTGAGTAGAAAATCTGGGTGATTGTTCACGACATATATCCGCCATACAACTGTTAGTTTTGGGAGTTGCTGCTTGAGGTCGAGGAAGGGGATAAGTTAGAATTATGTTGGTCCCTCCTGGTGTTTCGCAATTGGAAGCGTGAAAAAAGTCGGGCAATTGGTCATAAGACCAACCACTATCATCAAATTCGTCAATTTGAATGCCAGCAGGTCTCTTCTTCTTTGACGATAGCTTATGGTGATGCTCCATTTGAGACTGAATGTTTTGGTGGGTTATATTCAAAAAGCTAGAGCACCGGTTTACAGATTCCTTTGTTTTTTTCCTCCAGTCCTGCGAAGGTTCGAGTTTTTTTTTCAGATCTGTTAGCCAGTCTTCTGGTTTTGCCCTTGAATCTGATTTATTTATGTAGTCCGACACTAATGAGCTGTGGTAATTATCCTCACTTGCATTGTAGTGGAAATACCTCGGGCTCCTTTGTTCAAGATCTATGTGGTCGGACATAATAGACCTCGAACTGATTGAAGTCCCGTTGACTCCGTGGAGCCTTGTTCTATTTTTTGTGTCATAGTAGTGACGATGATCTATATCTACACAGTTCAAACGCTGATCTCGTGCCATATGCCTTGACAGTCGGTATGCATGAGGTGATAAGTCCCAAGGTTGATTTTTTAAAGGCAAACGTGTAGATGCATTTTTTTTGCTCTTCCGAAAGTGCCATAGTATCACTGAAGCAAGCCCAATAAGAACCGATGTCCCAAGAATAGCCCCAAATATTATAAAAGGTATGAGTGATCGTAGATTGGTAGATGTTGTAGATCTAGCTTGTAAGATTGTACGAAGGTTCAAAGGAGCAGTATCTGGGCCAGCTAGTGATCTAGAGAGATGAAACGATTCACGTTCGGTAACTGATGGTGTATTACTACGCGTAGGTGTCTTAGCATCTAGTACGACTGTTGAGAGCCTAATCTTGCTCATGTGAGAGAAACCTAACAAGCTCCTTGAGAATATTATTCGATTTCTAGGGAGAAACATGTCTTTATTGGCCTTATAATTTGCTGTGTTGTCTAGTGGGGTTATTTTATCGTGTTGGGCGTAAATCTGAGTAATAGGCGTAGATGACGAGCTCAAGTTTGAAAGGGTCGCAGCCAAACTTCCGGTAAAGGTGGCGAAGAGGATGCTGAACCTCCACTTAAATAGTTGAGTCCCGTTAAGGGAGACAGGATGTATCGTCGACGGAATAAACATGACGAGTAGAGCAATTTCATGAGCCTCGTACTGAACAGCGCCTTGCTATTCTAAAATGTGATATCTGGTGCTTTGCATGAGAAGAGGATACTATCAGGATGTTAACATCGATTGGACAGGGGAAATCGGAAGTGCGGCAAGGGCAGAGGTAAGGAGTGCAGAAATGTTATCCCCCCTGATAGCCGGTGATGATTGGTGTGGGAATCAAGGTTGTTGAGTGCGACTTTTTCATAGATGATCATCTTTTGCTTGGTCTAGAATCGGAAGGTTTGACGTTTAGATAAGATTTGTCCATCGGGTTTTGCACACATAGCCTCATGGACAAGCTGCCATTGGGTCACGTGACATGGAGGGGCTAAGATACACGTAGGTATACCAGTGAAACAACCCAAATCATGTCCATTCGCATGAGCCTATGAGGCAGCGACCGAACAACTTGACTAAGCTGTTCACACAAAACCGGTTATCAGATATAGACTTGAGATTTGATTGAACATGTGTTTATAATTCGCATGATGTAAGCTCTAATGTCAATAGGAAATTTCAAATTGTCTTTCATCTTGTCTCCCTCTGTCTCACTTAGCTCAAACCCAAAGCTATTGTTCTCACAATGATTTGATTCAGTAGGTAATCGCTAATAAAATTTCTAAGCTGCTCATTTGTGTGGCGATATTCGCTATAAGGATAAGGGTTCGATGAGAATATCGACCGGGGTACTGGTTGATGGAGCGCCAGCTAAAGGTCTACTCGATCTCCGACCATTTGGAGCTAGACAGGGATATAGAAGTACCCCGAATTATATTTGAATGAGTGATGCGAAGGGGCTCGCTCATCCCATACAACCAGTTCACCGAGAGGGATAAGCTTGTGTGCACCAGACCTTTGAGAAAGGCCTTGAATATTAGCAAGGTCGAGTGTCACAACGGCCTATCCTTTAGTCTAATTTTTAATTGGTCGGATTATTGTCTAGGGTATTATCTATGCTCAAAGAATGTTCTTTTTAGCTTGAATTCGGCATTACATTTCAAACCGTCTCCGGAGTGCTCTGTATCAGACTCGGATAGACATCGTCAAATGTAATGAGTAGCCTAATAATTTAGCAAATTTTACGATAAGAATGGTCTCTAACATCATAAACGAGTAAAGCCAACGGCGAATTACTTGCTTTTAGACAAATATGAGCACATCTCTGGAAGCTATTTAGGATCAAGATGAACAATCTTTTGAAAATCATGAAGTCTTCGCCTTGATAAGCAGTCTGTCACACAATTTACATTACGATCCTGAGTTATCTTTCAGTTGTTGTTGCTCGTCCATCGGCTATACTATCCGTTAGCGTGGAGCAGATAGGAGGATCGCCCGAAGAAACAAAAAAACCACAAGCTCTACGGGGACGGCATTTCTAATCGTCCGCAGGTGGCACAAGATACCTTGGAGGCCCAAGATTGAAATACGATTGTAAGAAACGATCAACAGATTGGTCTCGGCAAAGACGGTGATGTCTTGCTATTCGAACTAGTCTGCATCCATTGCCGCCCATGGATCCATTTGGACAAGGCAAGTGTCGGCCTCGCCGCGACAAACCATCTGATAATGAGGATGACTAAGAAACAAAGGTCACGTTCAAGTATCAGATGAGATTTAGCGACGACGATTTCTGTATCTTTGGCATGCTACTGCGCCTTATCCTCGCCCGTCAGTACCCGCCAAATGCAGATCTCGAGAACCCTCTGCCTACCCCAACGCGCCTGCATGATCCCTTGCCGCCAACGAGCCAATCCTTATTTATTCGCATCCCACTGGATCACAATCAGCGATCATTCATCTCCAATGAGGCAGGTGAGCAGGCCACCCGGACTCTATTTGAGTATTCAGCCCGGATATTACCGCTACATCATCAAAATTGCGCCACTTAGATAACGGCGGTGTTAAATGCATCTCTGAAGCAATCTCATCGTCAAACTTCCATGCACCATATTGTGTTCCAATCGTCAGGGCCAAATGCGATGGCTAGAAGCTGCGACCAATCAAGAAGTCCATTTACATATTACTGGACAGTAGTTCAAGATCCCCCGATCGTTTTTGTAGGGTTCTAAAATAATCTGCACGGCTAATATGCACCATCAGATCCCTTGCTGCATTGATTACTCGTGTATTAGAGGAAGCGAAGAGATATTGTGGATAGGTCCTGAAGTGCAACATACACATAATTCTGTAAGAATTTTACCTTTCCTAAAAACACGTGTAAACTCAAAGAGCTTTCTCTGAACAGATCTATCCTTTCGCGACGAAACGATGCTCGCTCTGAGTACGGGGACTTCGCCGCATACTACTGTCGGTTTAACCACAAAGATGCTCTAAGATCCCCTCAGATCCCCCCATTTTTCAGCGATTCAGCAAAATTCTTGTTAGGCAACTGGGAAGGAGCCCTCGCCGCTCCAACAGACGTTAAATTATAAAATAATCAGAAAAACCTCACCTAAATAGTGGACCTTAATATAGGATCTAGCAAGAAACAAACTGTCAAATGAAGAACACTATCTTCTCATACATCTAAAAGAAATAAAGAACGGAGCAGTACGAGTTGTCAGCTGTCAATAAATCATCTTTCTGCCATGATTTCAGTGATTTGCTTCTTTCTAATCCTCTTATTTTAATGATTGAACTATTAAAACATGGCTCCTCAGATCAATTGTATAACTTGTCAAGAAATACTGCACGGTAAGTTAAAGGCGTAGACGGATCAGTGCTGAATTAACATCCCACAGTGGTTACATGTATTTGCCCTTGTATAAATCCCTATCCACTAAACTGTGATTCACTCATCTAGTCTATTATAAAAGTATCCACGTCTTTTTTATAACTGGTAAGTACAATTTTAATGACTTGTGTCATCAAATTATGACAGCTTCTTTACTTGACAGATCGTCTCTACAACCCTTCGCTTACACTTTTAGGTGAAATTTGGCCGACGCATGCACCGTCTAGTCAGGGTATTACTCGTGACCAATTCAGCCGCATAATCAACTACTCAAAATTCCACATTCGATTCAATGGGAAACGATTTGGTTCTCCAACATGGCTGTATGTCCGGCCACATACCTACACTAAATCTGCCAGCGCTATTTGTACGTCTTACATGGCCCTTTTGAATGTAGAGATACTCATGTTCGGTATATTTTCACGGTTCGAGAATTGATACATGAGCAATCAGAATTGTAAAAGTAGTTTCCAGATAACCCCGGTTACCCAAGATCTATCTCGACCATTTCTACGCTCACTAGATTATCTAGAATGTTCCTTCCTGACTAATACTAGCTTCTCGTGCGTTCCTCCGAGAGTGACATATAGTCTTGTAACCAGTTGCTAGTATTTTCTTCTGAATTGACCCGAAGTGAAGTGTCGACTATCACAAAACTATTCGAGCACGCCACTTTCATGGTATCTTGTAGCACAATTTTCGGCACTATCGGGAAATTTTACTAAGTCAGCTAGTTGATTGAACGAAAGCTCCCTACTGTTATGGTATTAGACAACGAGGTAATCGAGGCTAGGGCATTGCGTGTGGCTCAAGGCCACAGAGTATATCACTTGTGTACTGGCTAGGCAAACATGTATATAGTTTCATAGATGTACCCATAATAAATGGATACAGCTTTAGTCTTAGAACCTCTGTCCATATATTATGGCATAGTGTTGTAAGGGTCTATTCACTGTCACCCACTAAATGTAACATCATCCACTCCACATAACTCCGCAATATGACTCCCGCATAGCTCATATCCATAACACTTACATCCTCAATAATATTGTTATCCAGGATTCACAGATGATAAAACAGGAAGGACTAGAACGAACTAAAGAGGAACACCTTCCAGTATCCATAAACACATGAGCAGAGCCTAGAGTAGTATACTCATGCAGATAAGAAGCGATCACACCTGGCTCAATTCCCATCTGCACAGAAGAACAGTTCCAGGAGTAGATAATCCACGATGCCAACGTGGATATCTATCCCAAAATGTGAAGCATATAGTCATGGTCTGCACCGGCCGGGCCAAAATTTGGGGCCATGATGAACAATCCAAAGAATATAACAAGGATATCTGGATGGATCCAGCAGGAAGAACAGCTGGAACAGTTTCGACTGACAGTTGAAATCGAAGCGACAATGCGTGGGAGAGAAGGAAGATGGGAGACAAACTTCTACAAGTTATAGGAAGAGAAACGGTATCCGCATAGAAAATAACAGTGTTAGTGCACTTCTTGAAGATAAAAAAATATCAAAATGTAGACAGGTTGAAAAGTTGAGGGGGTTTTTACCAATGGTTTCCTCCTATGTAAATAGTGGGACTATTCTCAACACCTGTCAGTGATATAAATTTAGATGGATGTCTCGGATATCTCTGAGCGTAACCGTGATCAACAGAGGACGGATATTGTAGTCTCAGCCTGAGTCATAAATAGAGGTTATATAATAATAATGATGGGCTCTCGAATCAGCTTCCAACACTTTGATCTCATCCCGTCTGTCTACAACGACTAATCTATATACTTCATGATCTTGGTACGTGCCTGAGGCAAAATGGACATTTAGCGGAATCTACTGCTAGTCTGATCAGGGTCATTACACTTTTATTGTAGCTGCACGTATTGCCCTCTTTCACCATAACCACCTCAACAATGGTAACTCAACAATGGTAACTTTTAACAGTCAGTGGTGTCCCCTACGAACCTCCAGCTCTCATTGTAGAGTCTACAGAGCCGAGATTGAGTAACACCTTATCAACTTTGAGCTGAGTTATCTCCCCCTCCGTCATAGATACGCTTCCGATAACACATAAGACGACCAAGAGGATGATAGTGATGCTGGGAATGGGGAAAGATAATGCGGTACCAGACGCTACAACGGTAGTCAGAGAAGCCCTAGTTATATCACAACACGTGCTAACCACCGGCGGGCAAACAAAAAGCCCACGAAAGCAAAGTAAAAGACCCTTCCGCCCTCAAGAAATGCAGATTTCGACTCGTCAATAATATCGTCCCTTCTAATCTATACCTCCGAATCTACTAGCCAGGAGGGCATCTGAAATACATGAGTTACTCGACAAGCCTACGTCCGTAACGACTTTCGGATGCTAGGCTAGGCCCCTTCTTACTTATTTTTTGCATCGGATTTTAATTGCGTATGCAGCTATCTAGCTATGACACAATATCAAAGAAAAATACAGAAAAGATGACTCAATTTACAAGAAGAGCACTCATGCCTCGGATTTCATATGCAAGTACCATTGCGAAGCTATTGCAGCTTTTTCTTCACCCAAAGTCAGTCCTCATCCGTAAATACCCATCCAGGGAAACGTCTCAAGAACACTGAGTTATCTAGACATGCCATCATCATTCATTGACTTTTCTCCACGCGAAATGTAATCTGAGATATCTCCTTCCCAAGTGGAGTAGGTGCCCAGGCTACTCAAACCATACCAGAAAACATCACCAGGAGGCGGACCATAACACCTTCCATCGTTGTCTATATATACAGGGTGAGCTGCAATCTCACAACCGAAGTCTTGGCGCGCAAAAAGCCTAATCCGTAGAACTCCTTGCCAAAATTCGAAAATTCACGCCCGTCGAGATTGTATCCTTCCTTTGCATCATCCTGTAAACTTGTCCTAATACCTCTCACATACATACCAAAGAGCTGTCTCCCAGATTTGTGCGCCACGCTTTGCTTCCTCCGTGGGGTATAAATATCGGCGTGGGCGTGTTTTTGGTGGTCAACTGAGGCCAGAGAAGGTCGAAGAGTGGTGTGGTCATTGGGATGTGGATGTACTTGGTCGTACTTGTAGGCTTGATGAGACTTGCGTAAGAGTTAAGCTCGTTGGGAGCGAAAAAACGACGTGGAGGAGTAAGTTGAATTTTGCCTCTTGGGCCAACTTCTTTGATATTGCGAAATTTGACTGAACTTAGCTGTGGGAGAATATTTCACTTCCAGATTTGTAGAGAACACCTCGTACAAGTGTTCAGTCTTGCCGTCCTCTTTGTCCCCTTGTGCCTCTCTCTACCGTATCCCGCTCATGCTTACTCCTGGTGTCGTTAGTTCATGTCCGGACTTTATCTATCAGCGTGGCGATAGGCGTACGGACGACCCATGATTTCGGTGCCTGGAACTTCACAATGGCGTGAGTACACGTGGCACGTGCACGTTAGCACATAGTCCCCGTCCGCCTCTAGTCAATCTCTTTCCGCAGTCGATCTACTGCTTTCACCTCTACATTAGTGCTGCCGTCTCCTCTCTTAGTGATTAAAACACCCTCCATTCAAATAATAACAAAAGATAATTCGAGACTAACCCTCTAAAATATTGACACTGAAACAACTATACCTGAAGATTTTCGCGCCCACACATTGGAATAAAATTAGTAACAACTTTCGATGGCTTCCCTGGCAGTTCTCGGTGTCGGTGTCGCAACCGCAGCGTTTCTTGTAGGTGCTAAAAACTTTCTCTCAAACTGCATAATCTCACAAAACTTCAAGGGGCGTGCCGGGCTATTAGCCTTCAGGCGATCACGGGGTGAAGCAGTTGGCGCTTTTGGAAAAGCGTACTATAAGGGTGGTTTTGAGCCCAAGATGAATCTTCGAGAAGCGGCCCTAATCCTCCAGCTTAAGTAAATTCTTAACCGCGCGCAGATGCTGCTTTTACATGCTTACAAATGCGTCGTAGTGAAAGAAACCTGACGAAAGAAGCCATCCGTAAAAACCATCGAATGCTAATGATGTTAAATCACCCAGACCGAGGCGGTAGTCCCTACTTGGCCACGAAGGTCAACGAAGCTAAAGAATTCTTAAATAAGAACAGCCGTCGCTAAGGGTGCTGACAACTTTGGAGATAGAAATTCTGACGTGCCACTACCACTGTGTTTAACAAAGCTTCTACTTGGATCAAGCTTGCTTATTGAAGAAGAATCGGTTGCTACTGTCTTCGGTTCTACGTGTCTAATAATTTTCCAATCTATCCCGAACGCCTCAGGGCCAAAGACGAAAGTAGTAAAGACAAAGCAACTCTTTGGCACAAGCAGAACATTTTCAATCTAAAGCATGGGAAAAGGAGTCTTTTCAGGCGTTACAGAATTCTAAATATACGTCAAGGTACTTTTTTTCCTGAAGGAAATTGGTTTTCTATCTTGAATTTCATCCAGACTAATATAGTAGATAGACAGATTTCCTAGATTAGGTTTCTAGAGGACAAAAAGTATAGCGAAATACACACAAAGGTAAATGACCTTCATCAGACACACCCAATAGCTATACTGTAAAATCAGGCAATATTTATGTGGTTCAAGGTTTTAGGAGTATGCCTGCAGAAATTCCATGGGTAGCTCTAGGGGATAGTTACTTGCAGTTACATCGCGGATATCAATATTTCTAGATCTTTTTTTGCATCACATTTTAATTGTGTGTGCAGGTATCTAGCTATGACACAATATCAAAGAAAAGTACATAATATATGATTCAATATGAGGGAAGAGCACTCATGCCTCGGATTTCATTTGCAAGTACCACTGCGAAGTTATAGCAGCTTCTTCTTCACCCCAAATCAACCCTCATCCGTGAATACCCACCCGGGGAAACGTCTCAAAAACCCTGAGTTATCCAGACATGCCTCCATCATCCACTTAATTTTCTCCGCGCGAAATGTGATCTGAGGCGTCTCCTTCCCAAGTGGAGTAGGTGTCCAGGCTACTCAAACTACACCAGAGAACACCACCAGGAGGCGGATCACAACACCTTCCATCGTCGGCTTGTGTTGATAGTGTTAGCTGCACTCTCGCAAGCGAAGTCTTGGCGCGCACAAAGCTCAATTCGTAAAACTCTTGCCAAACTTCAAAATGGCACGCCCGTCGAGTTTGTATCCTTCCTTTGTATCATCTTGTGAACTTGTCCTAATACCTCTCACTTCCATCCCAAAGAGCTGTCTCCCAGATTTGTGCGCCACGCTTTGTGTCCTCCGTCGGGTATAAATATCGGCGTGGGCGTGTATTTGGTGGTGTGGAAACTCGAGGGACAAAAGACGATTGGCGAGTGGTCAAAAGCTGGCGTGGACTCAAATCATAAGATTCTAAACTAAAGAGAAAAGTATCTAGGAGGATATGAATCTGTATATATTTACATAGGAGTTCAACTGTTGAAATAGAGTTGCCAACACGAAACCTCCTGTCCCTCATTGCCTGCAACCCAAGGGTTTCGCATGAAAACCAATATCCATGACAAACCTTTCGTACCGTGATTTGTCACACACAAGACTCGTGTGTGTGAAACTAGTCGTTGGAATTCCTGGATTGACCCTGTGTCGGCTTACCAACTATTGAACCGACGGCCACGTGGCCACTGAAATGTCGGGGCGTCACAGGTGGTCGAGGCCAGAGAAAGTCGACGAGAGGTGTGGTCATTGAAACAAGGATGTACTAGGTCGTAGTTGTAGACTTGATGAGGCTTAGTTGAGAATTGGACTCTTTGGGAGTGAAAGATTGACAAGGTGGAGTAATTTGAATTTTTGCCTCGTGGGCCAACTTCTTTGATATTGCGAAATTTGACTAAACTTGGCTCTGGGAGAATATTTAACTCCCAGATTCGTAGAGGACACCGCGTACAGGTGTCCAGTCTTGCCCTCCACATGATTGGTTCATAGGAACCAGAAACGCAAAGAACGTAAAACAAATGAAATGACCATTTCGATAGTGTTAGTGCCCTGCACTACACCTTATCCTCGTGCCACACATTAACCAGGCCCGAGAAGCATTACAGTTGATCTTTACACCCCCTATTTATAATACAATCTTGCTGTAACATTTTGTAACAGCAAAATACTGCTAGAATGTCTGCCATCCTTGTCCTATCATGTCCCTTATCATAGGTGGTGGTTCCCTCGTTTCTATCCTCCATTTCTAAGTTGCCGGGCGACATTCTGCAAAGTGCCAGGGCCGTTTCTCATGTCCGCATTTACATAATATTTCTTCCTTCTGGTTTTAAAATCTCCTGTGATAACTAGCGAAGTTACCATGCCCAGTCCTTGCTGCGATTAGTCGGTGATATGCCCATCGAGGTAAAGCTAGCTTCGGAGGGCGTTTTCTTCACATCATTTGGTCAGGATCTTCGTACCTGTCCGTTTTATTCTTCTCCCACCAATCTTCTACAAGTTTTTGTATGTGGATTGTGACATGGTGTTTGTGTGCTGCAAATGTCAGGACCTCGTGAAATTCCTCCCCAATACATTCTGGTCGCCATAAATTTTCTTCTCTGGTTTTTGATGCAAGGACTACCTTAGCCATCGCATCAGCCTTTTCGTTTCCTTTTATACCACAGTGTCCTAGAACCCAGCAGATCTCCATATCGATTTGAGCCTTGCATAGTTCCATAAATTTTCTTACCTCAGACTTTGAGGAATTAACTCTGCCGCTCACAAGAGTTTCAGCAGCCTCTTGATTGTCTAGGAGCACCTTGATGTTTGTGTTACCTCCAGTCTCTAATACTAACTCTATGCCTCGAAATGCCCCGGTAATTTCAGCATCAAAGACTTCAGCTCTAGGGAGTAATATTCCAACGCTTGCTACTAGGTCTTCATCTCGGTATATGGCGAAGCCGTAGGCTGAGTACGCTGGACCGGTAGGTGAGCCATCAGAGTAAACATACAGCGTTCCTGTGGGGAGACTTCTAAGCCAAGACTTGATCTACGTCGCCTTCTCTTATTTGTTGCTTTTGGTCCTGGCGTTAGTGATCGCTATCCTCAGCTGGTACAGCTATCCAGGCCCTTCCGATGCCGGTAGGTTGATGTTACCATTTTGAAGGCGTGTTAGGTATTTTCCTGAGACCTTGAATACACGTTCTTTATGCCAATCTAGGAGTTTGAGTTGTTTTATAGCCTCCTTGGGTGTCTCAACTGCCCTTTGCGACAAATTTTGATAGCTATCGAGTCGGCAGTTTCTGGCTGCACTTCGAAGCTGTCGCTGCTACAGCATAATTTCTGCTGATAAGATGCCTGATTCTCTGTGGAGTACTATATTCGGTGTAGTTCGCCACACTGGTAGTGCAGCTCGAACCGCCGTTAAAATAGTCCTATCCAGCAGTTTGAGGTGCCGTCCAACACCCGTACTTTCCTTCTTATCTCGTATGGTCGTGATACGGATGAGTCCAGGCCACCAAGCTTCAGCGACATAGAAAGCTGTGTTACGGGATTAATCACTTGTGCTTGTTCTGCCTGCGCCAGTACGACAGGGATAGAATATATGGCCTAGCTAGTTACAGGGGCTACCAATGTTGCGGTCTGGATATGGTTGCTTAGCAACATAGGTTGTTCTGATCGGCGCTGATAATTACAATTCCCTATTTTTTTAAATTTTTTTAAATCATTTAATGTGTATTCAGCTATCTAGCTATGACACATGACCGGTGCTATGTATACATGTGGGATGACTCTTTTGACGTTAGAGACACTCATACTCTGGATTTCATTCGCAAATACCACTATGAGGTATGCTTGCTTACACAAACAGTGGACCATCCTCCGTTAGTACCCACCAAAGGGAATTTAAAAACCTTTGATTATCCAAGCATGCCTTCGTCATCCATACATACCAGCGCCGCGAGAAATGTGGTTGTGTTTTGCCGGATTCGAACCAGCGATCTACTGTCTTAAGTGGGATATGTGTCCAAGCTATCCACTCTGCTTGGCAGACCGGCCAAGATGATGTACCACCGCACCATCCAACCATGGCAGTTTTTAAAGTGTCGCCTGCACTCTCGCAACCGAAGTCTTGGCACGCACAAAGCTAAATTTGCAAAAACTCCTTTCCAAAACTCAAAATTCCACGCCCGTTGAGACTGTATCCAATCCTCTGCATCATCTTATTAACTTGTACTGATCCCTCTCACATCCATCCCAAGGAATTGTCTTCCAGATTTGTGCGCCACGCTTTGCTTCCTCCGTCGGGTGTAAATATCGGCGTGGGCGTGTATCTGGCGACCAGCTAAGGCCAGAGAAAGTCGACAGGAGGTGTGGTCATTGGGATGAGGATGTATTAGGTCGTACTTGTAAACTTGATGAGGTTTAGGTAGGAATCGTTTTCGTTGGGAGTGAAAGATTGATATGGTGGAGTAATTTGAATCATTGCCTCGTGGGCCAACTTGTTCGGTATTGCGAAGTTTGACTGAACTTGGCTCTGGGAGAATATTTCACTCCCGGGTTCGTAGAGGACACCGCGTACAGGTGTTCAGTCTTGCCCTCCTACAATTCCCTATGTATACAACGAGAAGTAGGAAATCTTTTTTCTCTAGATTTCATGAATTAACTGATTTATTCTGGACCTGCTCTGATGTATACCAACACCGATTGATCCGGTGACAAGCTGTACTGGCTACACATGCGTGTACAGCACGTATTAATGGTCTGGGAGCCACGCCTCGCTAGAACTTGTTGACGCTACGTAAGAATTGTGATAAGCGTTGTGCCTTACTATACCATTCCTGAATATTCTGCTTAAATGTCAATTGTGCGTCCAGCCATACTCCCAGCCATCGAATGTGTGGAGATGATGTAATAAACTGTTCACCAACTTGAACCGAGAGGCTGGATGAGAAAAGTTTCTTCTTCGGTCCTTCTCAGATGACCAGTAGCTCAGCCTTCGAAGGGTCGAATCTAATCATGTTTGTTGCTGCCAGTTGGACTATCTTATCCCCTTCTTCCTGGGCAGATTTCACAGCTTCACAAGGAGTTTTACCGACTCGAATAACGGCGATGTCGTCTGCATATCCAAATCTACAGTTGGTGGAGCCTTCTTCGATTAGAGTAGAAATGTATGACATGAATAAAAGT